AACACCCGCGTCATTAACCGCAGAACGTGGCCGGAGCCTTGACCTGTGGTTGAAGCCCTCAAAGTGACAAGATCGGCGCTGTAGGAAGCTGGACTGGGCTTCACGATAGCTGGGCAATGCAGCGTGGTGCAAATGCAAGGCTTTGGCAGTGACGTAAGGGATGCAAAGCATCATAGAGGGTCTCACATTTGAGGGCATCAGGACTTTTTAAGGTCAATGATCTCGGTCTGGGGCGCGGGGTTGAGTGGTTCAGCAGCGAGACTTGGGCATCGAGCTAGGTAACGTCAGACGGGGTTTGCGTCCACTGTTGAGTGTTGGGATACGGGCTGTGGTTAAACCAAGCTGTGCAAATACTGTAGCCAGCGCTCAAGCCACACCCTGAACGCAGTAATGAAAGGTTGCCTGCGCTACTTATGTTCAACATGCTGCTTGTCCAAATCAACCCGGCTAGAACCAGACTTAGCAAGCTGCATGCCCTGATGCCTCTGGCCCAAACATTACCCCACGGCCCCAAAGTAGTTCCTATTTGGGGTTCATATGTAGAATCCTATAAGGTAATCCGAAAAAAAGGAACTACTTTGGGGCCGATGGGTATCATGGACACAGTGATAAAGACTGAAAGACGACAGCAAATACGAGAATTGTTGTTGGGTGAACAACAGCAAAGCTATATAATGGACTGCAATATCCCCCGCACAATCACCCGTCAACCGGGCAGTCGAAGTTTCGCGCAACAAAGAAACAGCAACACGGCCTGTAGAAAATTGCTAGAAGAACGTTGCTGAACTGAACATGCACCGGTTAGCACAGAAGGCATAAACGCTCGCTCTGTTGCATTGCGAGCCGAAAATCTCTGATGGCAGGTTGAAAAAACGCAGGACCCAGATTTAAATCAAAAGCAGTAGGATCCCAATTCGATTTACTATAAACAGAAACCTAAGCGAGATACCAGCACCCTCCCAGTTGCCTCAAAAACCAGAAAGCAATCGACAAATGATTTATGTGATTCATGTGTTCTCCGTAGGGTCGCCAAAGGCTGCACTTGCAGCAGTTGCACTCCGCCAGCGGCTGTAGCTCGGTCTCTGTTCTTTAATGGCTACTCTGGCCTGCAGCTGATCCCTTTGCAACTTTGTAGCCTCAGGGCCTTAGGACTCAGGGCGTCTAGGGTTTGGGCTGTTGATGCCAGGCCAAAAAGGTCTTATTTTAAGTTCCGTCTGGTCGCCTGCACCTGAAACCCGAGTCCTTGTGAACTGCCGTCAGTTTGGAATCTACGAGCAAAATAGGGAAAGCCTGAGATTGCTCTCTTTAAATGCTCCACAGGCCATTGACTGGGCTATAACACAGTACATCATGGATGTATGGTTTACATGGGCCCCGAGTCTCGGACCGGATGCATTACGGCATGGCACTACCGAATAGCTCATACGGGCCATTCTCTACATTAGGGTCCCTTTTCCTTTATAAGAAACATTCTCTACATTAGGGTCCCTTCTCTCTTATAAGAAAGGACCCTTTAAGGGCCGTTATTTGGAGAGCTGCCCATATGTAGCGCCATACTGAATCCAACACAGTGCGGCACAACATGAAAACGTCTGCCACCATATAGTGGCTGAGAAGTTACCGAGAGAGATCGAACTGCAGCAAAGCGTTGACACGGCGCTACGTTCACAGTGGGTTGGGCGGATTCATAGTAGCGATGGTCGCTGTGACGATGGCTACTCACACGACAGTCAGACTATGGCTTGGCTTCTTGCTGCAGGATTGCGCCACTTCTTGCAGGATCAAATGCCTGCACACACAGACACATATTATTTTGCAATATGTATGCTGTATACAGACGCATACTTTGTCGTCCGCACAAACCCAGCATAGCCCTTGCAAGGCCATTCACCGCCGTCAAGAGCGAGCCTTTGCGGCTGGAGTAGGACTTTTACAGGGTTTTTATAGGGGCCTTACTAATTAGAATAGGGTTTTGTGGTATATGAAACTATGGTTCTACCAACGAACCCCAAAAATAGTAGAGGTAACTATAAAAATGTTTCTACATTATTCTACATCAGGGTACATCTTGGAAATCCTATCTCAAGAATACCACAACCTTATTGGCGATACATCTTAGATTAATATAGGGGCCTAGTTCCGGCAACTACCAATACCATTTTGGGGGCTCCTTATTATAAGTATAGCATAATGCGTCCCAAAACTCTATGCTAATCTTATAGTACCCTTATAGCAACCCTTTTCAGGATCCCTTAAAAGAGCCCTATTCTAACAAGCAACCCCCCCCCCCCCTGGATGAACTCCACATGGGCTCATGGAGGCGAGAAGCTTCGGAACTTGGAGGTCAGAGAGTGTTTGCGCAAGATTCAGATTATCGGGTTCAGGGAGGTTTAGGGTTTAGGGTCTAGGGATGTTTGGGGCTTCGGGTTTAGGGAAGCTTAGGGTTTGGGGTTTAGGGAAGCTTAGGGTTTAGGGAAGTTTAGGGTTTAGGGTTTATAGGGATGTTTAGGGTTTAGGGAAGTTTAGGGTTTAGGGTTTAGGGAGGTTTAGGGTTCAGGGATTAACATGAATACTAACTTAATATTAGCTGAACTTTTTTCATGTTATGATAAGTCACAGCCGGAGAAAGCCCGAATTGGAGGTTCTTGACGAGTTGCAAACAGTGCTCCAAGCACTGTGTTTGGGATCAGAGGTATGTAGTTGGCACTACAGATACCTCGCCAAAAAGAATGCTTGCAGCTACTCATCCAGTTCACACCCCCAAACAACTTGCCTTACAGCACTCATGGCTTCCCGTGAACCCTAAACGTAACGTACCTGCTACACATGCTTTGCCCATGGACCCAAACTCTATGTAAACTCTGCGTGTATGGCTATAACCATGAATCCAAAAGCCCTATGAAGCTTCGCACCACACGACCAGACACGCGCCTTGAGCTGTGCTTGGCGGTTGGGGTTCGGCGATGCGCCGGGATCCACAACGGGATCGTCCTTCAGAAAGACTCATATGGTTTAGAGCCTTGCAGTAAGGTCCAAGTCTGTGATAAGACTAATAACAACAAGAAGGGTTCTAGGGCTTCAGGTTTTTGGAGTTGAGGATTTAGGGTAGGGACGGGATTCCCAAAGGAACCGACTGGGTTCAGGGCTCTACGGATATCGGCTTGAGGTGATCTCGATTCATTACTAGGCCACTCCAAGTGCCAGGTCGAATCTACTACCACTATACAGAAGTTACGGTGCAGCGCGTCGTCCGAGACTTAAGTGCATCCGTTGCAGCTGGACGTGAGCCCATCATGAAACAGTACTAGAAACAACAACTAAATTGGGCTAAAATCTACAACGACCATACAAAAAGCTTGAATAGCTGCGCAATGCTTCTGAGAGCCATGATCTTAAACCCTACGGTAAGCCCCAAAAGAATGGACACCGACTAAAAAACAAGTAGGATTGCCTATACATTACTCTTAAGGATCGAGGCTATTGGGTTTCCAACTTTTTCTACTATACTGTCAACCATATGGGTGGTTGTCAAAATTATGGTCCCTTTGTGGTCCCTCGTAAAATGCGGCACTTCATATTTAGGGAACCCAAAAATAAGGGACCACAATATTGACAACCACCCATATGAGCTTGAACCCGGCTTGCCCGGGATCTTGCTTGGAGGGTCGGGGGACTTAGCAACTGGTTATTTGGGGGACTTATAAGTACCATAACCCCAATTAGGGTCCCGTTTAGTCTACTTATAAGTCTACTTATTACCTACTTACTAAGTCCCCCGACCCCCCAAGTGCCGATCGGCCCTGCAACGAATCCACCGAGGCCCCAGCTTCTCCGTAGGCCCTAATATAGGGGGCCTCAATAGGTTAGATATACATTAGGATAGGGTTCCTTTAAAAGGGATCTGTAAGGGGTACTATAAGGGATCCATAAGGGTACTATAAGACAGGGGCCTTAATGATTAGAGTGGGGTTTTGGGGTTTCCTGATTATCATTATAGTATAATTGTTCCCCAAACGCTATTCTAATTCTTCAGGCCTTTTTGTATAAATCCCCAAGCCCTAAACCCTCAAATCCCCAAGGCAACGCACCAACGCCCTAAGCCTTAAACTCGAAGCCCCTTAAGCAATCTGGCCCAACACCCCTGCCAGCACCATCAGATCCAACAACCCAGAGAACCCAATACCCCTTAATTAGGGAATATACCTTAAATTATAGAGGCCTTAATATTATGATTTAAGTTATATTCCTTAATTAAGGGGTATTGGGATCTCTGGGAAGAAAAGGCAGCTCCGACTCCTCGAACTCCTCTTCCTCCTCGCTCTCCTCCTCCTGCGCTTCTTCGAGCAGGCGTCGGGCTTTACCTACCCAAAGGCCTCAAAGAAGTTCCTTTTTGGGGCTCATCTATAGAATCCTATTAGGTAATCCAAAAAGGAACTAGTTTGGGGTCTCCATTGTGGGCATTACCTACCTTAAAGCCGGAATAACCTACCTTTATAAGGACTTATATAAGGAAATCATAAATAAGGAACCCTAAAAAGGTAGGTTATTCCGGCTTAAGGTATAGTCTCCGTTGTAGTCCCTGTTTTTGGAGAACCAGTCTTATGGTTAGGATTCCATTATGTAGTTTTTGGTGAACCAAAAAAGGAACTGCAATGGAGACTATAGGTAGGGGTTGAAGGAGTTCTGCATCGGTCCCTTTCCTTCCGGGAAGACTTATGGTTCGGGGCTCAGGGGTCAGAGGAAAACTTCTGAGTTTAAGACGCTGAGGCAATGACTGAGGATACTTGCAGCACGAGCCGGCTGCTTCAAATTCCGCTTTGAGCAGATGATCCATTCTTCGCGGGGTGTTCGGGGCTCCAGGAAAAAACAAACAAGCAACCACCAAACACACGCAGCTTCATGCGAACGACAAGTAGCAAGATTCTTCATATGAGAGCCCCTTAAAAGAAATAGGCAGGGATGCCTTGTTCTCCGAAACCCTTTAAAAGGAGCTTACGAGGTCAATCTGCCTGATGCCGGTCCTCGCACCATTCGTAGTCGTCCGCCTCATCCCCGGCGGCATCTGACAAGGGCTTGGCCACAACCTGCGTATCGGAACACTCAAACGGGTTTAGCCTTGGCTTCTGATGGCCGGGCTTTCAGACGGTGGTTGTGGACGTTGTTTTTCAAAATGTTCTTTTTGTCACAAGGCTTCGAGCTTCTTAGCTTCGGGATTCGAACTGTAATGAACATGTTGCGGGCCTGCGGCGATGGATTCGTCAACGTACTCCCGGGCGTAGTGCTCACGGGAGGGGAGCAGACGACTGGCGCCGGAACCGGTGCGGCTACAGGGGCCAGCCTCACAGTCTCACCTCGGGCTTGAGATTCAAGTTTGAAACTGTAGGGCCTGGGCAATTGGCTGTAAAACCAAAACTTCACAAAACCCCAAACCAAATCTAGTTCGACCATTAGGTTGCAAGGACCTAAAACGGGCACCTACAGGATGTATACTGTATGTTCTTCAATCAGGGTTTGCTAGCTTGCGATCTGGCTTTCATTTCGCCCGCTGAGCAATCCTTAAAGCCCCATTCGGCCCTAGCCCTCTGTTTGCATCATCGCGGAGCGCTTTTCATTAAACCCTGAACCTTACGCCGCAGAATTTAAAACGTTGCACGGTGCATCGTGTTGTCCAGCAGGTTCCGGTTTGGTCGGGATGTTGTTAGAAGGCTAGCCCCGAAACCCCACACACCGAACACCAGATCCTGCATAACTAGCCCAAAACACCCTGAAGTCTACATATGTGGCGGTCCAAATCGAACTCGCGGCCCATGCCAAAGATCTGAAGCCCTAAGTCCGCTTAAACCGTACGTCCCCCAAACCCTGCAGAGGCAATGCCTTTAATTTTGACATCGGCTTAAACATCACGCCCCAACAATACTGCAAACGACAGTCCGCTTCGGAGCCACTATGAAACCCATAAAATCCGATGCATGAAAAGACCCACACATCGCAGCCATGGGAGACGTTTGTCCGACAACCGCAAGCTTGAAACTTAAACCATTCAGGCCCTACATCCTAAAAGCCCGCAGTGATATCCACAAGTCGAAAACCCCCAATTCTTACCCATCAAACGAAGCAACATACTATGAGAAAATACCCACAACCTCTTTCTGAGATACCAAACAATACCCATAGGCCCCAAAGTAGTTCCTTCTTGGGACTACCTTATAGGATTCTAAATATGAACCACAAAAAGGAACTACTATGGGGCCTTAGGCTAGTAGCTCTGCAGAATCGAGGCTCCCGCCCTGCACCGGGTCTGGCGCATTCCGACTCTGGGCGCGGTTGGTCTGCGTGGCCACGGACTGCCCGGGGCGCTGAGGATTTCTTCTCTAGTACAGTGTAGTACAACAAAGTATAATATAGTATAATTTAGCAAAGTATTGTATAATCTAGGACAACAAAGTATACAGTATATAGATAGTATAAAGTATCTGCTCTGCATGGACGTGAATGTCTGCGTGTGCACATATATTCCGCACACACACACACACACTTGCTGGCGTCTATGGGTATGACTGAATGTATGTATGCATGCGTGTATGCGTGCATCCGTGATTCTGTGTGTGTGTGTGTGATTGTTTATGTCTTTTTTGAATGTATGTGGGTATGTATGGATGGATGCATTCATATGACCGCTGCGCGCCACGCACAGTTTAGACTTCATGCCAGATCTCAGCACACTATCAGGGCGAAAGTTCGCCGCACTCGGGAAACTCAAAAGTACAATCGTCGACAATTGACAAGGGCCTTTCCAACATCTCTTCTAAGCCAGAGCGTGGTTGCAGACGCAGGGAGCTGATCCTCCGGCTCCACCAAAATGCGATGCACTTCCCTGTAATGTACCGGCTTGAATATGGAAAAAACGCGTTAATTAGGCCCTAGTTCCAAAACGAGCCGTTACATTACCTGCAATCCTCTGCAAAGTCTGCATCGATGTCCTGTGCAAGTAGAAACTGCTGACGAGATAAGCAACCCAACACACACGTTATATGCAGGTACCCATGAGCATCCATACATACATATGTACATACATCCTCTATATGGGTAGTTCTCTAAATTAGGGCCCCTCAATAGATCCCAAATATCGTACGGCACCCCTGTAACAAGGACCCTAAACGGTACCTATAATTTAGAGAACTACACATATGATTTCGACAACTTCCGAAGCATGGCCTCCAGCTCCCGGCGCTCCTTGGAATCGGGTTCACGAATGGCTGTCCAGGAACTCAGTTTTTTATATGCAGTAGCCTCTTTGATCCGCAGGCGGGCGTCGAAGCTTTAGGACTTGCGGTTCATAGTTTGGGGGGCGTGGGGTTTACTGTATAGGGCGCAGGCTCTAGTGGGTTTAAAGGCAGGTCTGAATGGAGTTCCCGTCGTTTAGGGCCCGAGGCTAGCTTGTGGGTTTAGGGTTTAGGGCCTAAGTTTAGGGTTTAGGGATTACGGTGTCCCGGCTTTGTACATGATTAGCACAGGTGGCCTCGGCAAGGAATGCATCGGCTTCGGGCTAGCCCCAAAACAGAACCCCAACACCTCAGGGTGTGCGCTTTCAGTCAGAAGTTAGAAGCACCTGAATCCGAGAGGTTCCTGCGAGGATCTCGCAAAGGCAAGGATTCAAGTTCAGCGCTACGGCGGCTACGGTGGCCACAAGTTCGGCGAGGTAACAGGTAGACTCAAGTCACCATATTTCGCTGCCGTTGCTCTTCGACCCAGGGACCTTGTTGTGCAGCGCCACGGCCTCGATCGTGTCAAGCGAAGCCTTCGCGTGGCAGAGTCTCGGTGATATCTTGTACAAGCGAATATACATGTAATGTACAGGTGATGGAAACAAGGCTTCGGCATGATCATGTTGTAGGTATGATTTTTATAACCATACCAGGACTACAATAAAGGATACGCAGTCAGAATTCATCGCCCCAAACCATGCAGTTCTCATGACCTTCTCAGTTGTGGGTTCCCCAAACGTCGCCTGAAGACTTGGGAATTTGGGAAGCCCAAACTCCCGCTGACAATCCGAAACCACCTGAAGCCTGGCAAGCAGAAGAGGGTTTTTGAAACCACCTCTTCTTCTTTTCTAAACCCCCTCCAGCTCGCCAGCGCAACAGCTAAGTTTTGACTTCCGAACTGCTCACTACTGCCGTTAACCACACACCCGAAAGCTCAGCCCTGGCCCTATAAACCCTCCAAGATATCCAAACTCCTAAACCCTAAACCCCAAACCCTAAACCCTAAACTTCCGAAGAGTCTCGGCCGCATGCCCCGCCTCGGAGGGCCGGGACGGAAGAGTCCGGCTGCCTCTGCAGGGCTTACGCTTACCTTCGGGATACAAGGGTTGCTATACAGGGGCTACCATAAATGGCTACCCTAAGGGGCTACTACGGTTGAATCAACAGTAGAAGGGGCTACCATAAAGGATCACCCTAAGGGGCGACTATAATAAGGGCTACGGCACAGTGAACAGCCTGTCGAAGAGTTGGGGCTTAACAGGTTGCGTCAACCTCGGCGCATCTGCAGTGCACTGAATTGCAGGGCAAAGCGGCAAAGACTGCAAGCAAATAGAAGGGTAGATAAGAAGCCTGAAGTCCAAGAAGTGCTTGATAACGCTACTATAAGGGCCCATTATACTATAAGTACAATAAGGAACCCCCAAAATAGTATAGGTAACTATTGAGGCCCCTAGAGTAGGCCGCTGTTGATGAGTGATCAGTGTTTGGACAACTACATCGTGATATCTGGAATGCACACGGACAGGGTGATGGTGGAAATACCTGTTGATGACAAACTGGAACAAACTAGTTAACATTTCTTAAGATACAAAGCCATGATGCAAGCATAACCTTGTAAGAAGCTATACATCATGCTTGCACTTCAGTTTTAACCCTTAGCCCCAAGCCCTTGCCGCACTCAGGTGGATGTAAACATTTTCCTGGGATGGTAGCGGTTGGGATCCTCGGGTTACACTAGCATTGGGGTAGAAACCTTAAGATCGATGACACCTAGATAGGCAAGGCATCCTGTAACTTATCGTAGCCACGTATAGCATCCCTCATAGCAGCCCCTTACAGTACCTGAAAGTAACCCCTCACGGGAGGGGCCTTAATCATCAGACCAGGGTTTTGGGGCCCAGGAATACTCTTGGCATGAATATGTACTTAAGACTATCATAGGGCTTAGGGTTTAGGGTTTAGGGTTATCCCAAGCCTGCGACATCTTTGTCCTCCTCGGGGGGAGCCACCGGGGCCGCAGGCGAACCGTCCTGGAGTTCATGCTGCCATGCTGCCAGTCCCGGATTCCGGGATGCCGCGACCTAGAGCCCTGTGATCTACACAAGAATTGTAGATTAGGAAATCGAAGTCAGAGTCTTAACAAGAGTAGGGACGGGAAGGATCATCCAAAATAGGGCTGGGAGCCATGGAAGATACGTAAACCCTAAACCGTGGCTCTTCGAAGATATGTAAGCAATGTATATCCCGAATGCATCGCGGCACCATCCTCGAAGGGAGCCCGCATGGTCGTCGCCGTAGTGGCATCCTAGGCATGCTTCCAGTTTATGGCGTCCTTCTTTTTGAGGGCGGGTGGGGCCCCCCAATTTAGGGGGGTTCGAGGGCGGGGGTGGGGGGGGGGGGGGGGGGGGGGGTTGGGGGCAGGAGGTTGGCGTCAAGGGCTGTGATTGAGAGTCCATTGAGCAGCTTCCGTCAACACTATCCGGCTAGCGTCCCTGCCCCAAGCAGCCACAGAGTCCATCTGATCATCTCTACACAATTCTTGGACAGGAATGCTACCAGTTATACCCATTATATTCATATATATATATATATATATATATATATATGTATATATATATATATATAAATATTCATATCAAGCATCCCATCCACCTAGACCGCTACGGAAACTGCTTCTGTCGGGCGTTCCCCAGAGATTTACAAACAGCGTTGTGGATAAGCGCAGAAGCTTCAAGCATCTTCAAGCCCAGAAGCACTCATCGGGCTGTTAGCTGCTGGCGGCGGCTGCGCCTGAGGCAGCAGTAGGTTCTGCACGAGGGAGGGGCGATGCTAGGAGATGTGCGGCTTCCTACATGGCCGGACAAGAGCGAATTCTGTGTGTACATGTCGCGTATTGTTGAAAATAACCCTCACCCAAAACTTTGAGCACCTAACCCTGAACCCCAAACCCTGAACCCAAAGCTCTGAACCCCAAACCCTGACCCTAAACCCTGAACCCAAAACGCCAGAGCCGAAACAACTCGAAGCTGCGAGACCCCGGAGCTCTAAAGCCTTGGATGCTGAAACTCCACCGAAAACCAAGTAAGTCCGCAAACCCGACCACCCTAAGAGTCCTGTAGGAACCTTAAAGGGTCTTGGGCGATTTTAGGATTCTATACAGGGTTTAGGGTTTAGGGTTCTATA